TTTTGTGTATTTTTTAGTCATAGTTTAGAATTTGAAATTTTACAAATAAGTGTGCCTTTTTTCTTGATGCATTAGTATGGTTGAAGAAAAGTTTAAATGTCACTATTGCAAAATTTTATTCATCTTTAACCTTGTGAAAAGACCTTCCCTTGGGTACCAACAATTTTGACCCTTTGACCATGACCTTTGAGGTTGAACTACTTTAAAAAATTTATAACCTTCGCCAAAACTTTAAACTGTTGAAACAAGGGTTATCATATTTCATAAAAAGTTTTCTTTGTGACATGACCTTCCTTTTGGACCCAACAATTTCGACTCTTTGACTTTGACCTTTGATTTTGACCTTCTATGAAAAACTAACTTTGGTCTTAATTTTGAATGGTTGGTGCTATGGCTTTCATATTTCACCTGTGTAGTTTTTGTAACAAGACCTCTTTTTTGGCACCACTAATTTGATCCTTCGATCTTGACCTTGGAGTTTGACCTACTTTGAAATTCTTCAACGTATGCCATAAGTGCTATCCTATTTCACAAGTGTATTCCTTGTGACATTGACTTTCTTTCCTTTGATCTTGGAGTTTGACTTGCATATGAGAAACTTTAACTTCCGCCATAAGCTGCCATACGGGGGCATCAGTATTTATCTCATTCACCAACACATCTTGTTTTTACACCTGTAAGTGAAGCGGTCACCCATCCAAAGTTTATTCAGGCTTGTCGTTGCTTCCCTAACAAAATTTACTATTATAGACAACTATAGTTTACTATAGCGAACTCAGTAAAACGTTTGATATTTTGATTTACTACCGTAACGAAACTTTCACAATAAACTTTTTTTTTAGATTTCAAAGCTTACAATCTCGACAATTCGATTACAGTGGAAATAATATGTGAATATACAAGTAATAGTATGCACCAGAGTCATTCATATCTTGTCAGTGAAAAATCAATCAAGCTTACTTATGTTCTGTGTTAACTGCGTTAACTAAGTACATTTACATCTAAATTTTCACAAAATCCATCATTCAATTTAAGAAATATCAAAATTGCTATAATTCCTCGCCTCTTTGTTACTTCTGTGTATACATTAAGTCAAAATGGTTTGAAAATAGCACCGTCGTCGTTTATAAATTGTCGATCTTAATATTTAAAGTGTGTATAGGACAGAATTGTTAATCTGCTTTTGGACCAAAATGAATAAATTTATTATATAATTGAATAATTCCTATCTCTCTAATTAGCTGAGATCCAACAATGTAGAAAATAGACTATGTTATGTCACCTTCCAGGTTAGTCCGAAATATCTGACGTTTTCCAGGCTTTTTTCACGATTTTGATATTTTACGTGCCAGGAAAACGTCAGAACCGACGCCATTCCAGGTAAGCATAAGGATTTATTTCTCCAGATTGGTCGAAAAATAGATCTGGAAATTCTAAATTGATACAATTAGTTTTGGAAAGCTATTTCACTTGCTACTGAAATTCCACTCAGGTGAACATAACATTAGGGAATAACGAATTTAGGGCTGTGGGGGGTGTAAGGACCCCCCCCACCACCCCCAAAAAAACGATTTTTCTGAACGTAAATTTTTACTTGTAATATTTTAATTTACACTAAAAATATTCATTGAAAGGCTGGTCCCCCACTAATGGACCCTAATCCCCTATCCCAAAACAAAATAATAAGTTAAGAGATTTCTCATAATCAAAGATTTTTTTTTCAGCTGCCTTTTCTTCCAAGATAAAGCCCCCCCCCCCCCTTTCACATTCCATCCTATAAAAGAGCCTGATATTATTTCTTTCTTTTTTTTCATAGCAACTAAAGTAATAAAACTGGTAATCTTTATTTAACCCTGCTTTTCTCATTGCATGTGGCTAGGATTTCAGCAAATGTACACAAGTAAGATGGCATGAACCGCTGAATGAGTTTCTATCATTTAATTATTGAATCATATAAAAAAGCAATTATATAATTATTGCTGTTTCTTTCAGTCAATACGATGATTTAGCCACCTTCGAAGTACAGAATTCATTACAATATTATACTCCTCAGGTGGCTAAATCATCGTATTGACCTCAAAAGCAGCAATAATTGTTTTCATTATGTTATGATTGAATAATTCGTATCTCTGTGATTGGCTGAGGTCCAATAACGTAGAAAAAATACTATGTAATATTCACCTGCACTTGACCTTCCAGGTGAACATAAGGATTTATTTTTCCACATTGGTCGAAAAATATATCGGGAAATTCTAAATTGATACAAATAGTTTTGGAAAGCTATTTTACTTGCTACTGACTTCCACTCAGGTGAACATAACATTAGGGAATATATAATTTAGGGTGGTGGTGGTGGTGGTGGGACCCACCGAACCGCCTAACCAAAAACGATTTTTCTGAACGTAAATTTTTACTTGTATTAATTTAAATTAAGCTAAAAATATTCATTGAAAGCATGGTCTCCCACTAATGGACCCTAATCCCCTATCCCAAAACAAAATAAGAAGTTAAGAGAGTTCTCATTTCGTGGGGGCTAATCAATTTTTTTTCAGCTGTCATTTTTCCCTGATAATGCCCCTCCTTTTACAATCAATCCTTTAAAAGAGCTTGACATTAATTCTTTTTTTCATAGCAACAAATGTAATATGACAGTTATGTTTATTTAACTCTGCTTTTCAGTCTCATTGCATTTGGCTAGGACTTCGGCAAATGTAAACAAATAAGATGGCATGAACTGCTTAATGAGTTTCCATCATTTAATCATTGAATCATATAATAAAACAATTATTGCAGCTGTTTCTTTTAACCCTTTGGGCTCGGTAAATAATATTATACTCCTCAGGTGGCTAAATCGTCGTATTGACATAAAAAACAGCAATAATTGTATTATATATATATATATATATATATATATATATATATATATATATATATATATATATATATATATATATATATATATATATATCCTTTAAAAGAGCTTGACATTAATTCTTTTTTTCATAGCAACAAATGTAATATGACAGTTATGTTTATTTAACTCTGCTTTTCAGTCTCATTGCATTTGGCTAGGACTTCGGCAAATGTAAACAAACAAATAAGATGGCATGAACTGCTTAATGAGTTTCCATCATTTAATCATTGAATCATATAATAAAACAATTATTGCAGCTGTTTCTTTTAACCCTTTGGGCTCGGTAAATAATATTATACTCCTCAGGTGGCTAAATCGTCGTATTGACATAAAAAACAGCAATAATTGTATTATATATATATATATATATATATATATATATATATATATATATATATATATATATATATATATATATATATATATATATATATATATATATATATATATATATATATATATATATATATATATATATCTTCTAATTATTAATTAGAAAATGTTTCCTTGAAATTACATAAGTATATGCAGAAGATAATTCCTGTTTATCTATGTTTCATTATATAGGTTATTCTTGTGACGTCGTGGGACTTTTTATGTTAAGCACACACAACATATTCGAACCTGCAGCATAAGGATCAACTCCTTACTCTGCGATACCGCAGCAAACGCTCCAACCAATGCGTCATGCGGGCAACGCATATTGGAATGATCAGTGAGCAAGCAAAATCTAAGTTCAAGAGCATGTACCATCAGACACCACATGTCCAAAGCGATGCTGCAGTTGATACATGTAAATAACGTGTACATCGCGAGGTCTCTTTCTGCAAAACATGTATACATATAATACTTATAATGATAACAAATAAATGGCTGTACTTGGCAAGGGCTAATCACAGATAATCTATACAATATGCCACATAGCAGATCTGAAATACGCAGCACACTGTACCACTTTCTTTTTGAAATTCATTTTGTACTGTATGTTCTTTTTATAACAAAATACAATATTTTTATCAACATAATATGCTGCCGTAGACCTGTTTCATTTTCCTTTCAAAAAATAACTTATTTAGTCAAGACAACGAAATAAAACGAAGTTAAACAATTAAGTACTCAAAGGTTTTTGAGTGGGAAAGTAAAAATTAAGGAGGTGTAAATGTGAGGACGACACTAGAAACACTCTGTTTTAACTCTTGGCATCTCAAGATTTTAACTTGGTTTCCGTCTAATGTTTAATTTGTAGTAGTCATAAATAATCGTGAATAAATGACTAATCTTAACAACGGAAATTCCATTTTTTTGTTAAGATACTAAATTTCATAAATTTTCTCAATCTGATACATCGAAAACAAATTTAAAAATTCAATTCAAAATACGTTGTGTGTGTGTGTAAGGGTGTATGTGAGAGGGGGTGTGTGTGTAGGAGGGGGGGGGGTAGTGAAGGAGGGTGTGTGAGGGTGTGTGTTTTATCAGACTTTAACTATAGTTTACTTACATTTATTTTAAAACATCGATCAATCACAATTCACATTATTACATTATTGACCGAGTGTGAATTTTTCAAATCATGCTACCCAGGGGTTGGTTGGAGCCATAATAAGGGATCATTTTTTTACATTGAAATATATAAGAAAAGTCTTCTCAAAATAACTAAACCAGAAAGTACATGTATGAAACTTATGTAGTGAAGATTCTAAATTGTTCAACTCATGCCCCCAGGAGTAACGCGGGGCCACAATAGGGGATCAAAGTCTTGCATGAAACTATTTAAGATTTAAAAAAAAAATTGTAAGAAATTCAATAAATCATCAAAAAGCATACATTCCAAAGTTACGTGGATTTTCGTTTAATTAATTTCGTTTAATTAATTAATAGTATATCTTATTTGAAGCATTCTCTCTTGAATAATGACAGTAGCTCCACCTTCTCTGGGTCAACGTTTGTAGAGGTTGGCATTAACCATCGTAATACTAGCTTTCCCCTTAGGAAACCCTGCAGACGGCATTCAAGAGAGTGTATGTGTGTGCGTTTAAAAAAATAGAGCAAAAAAAAAAAAAAAAAAAAAAATCCAATGGATATTTGATAGCCTCTTTGACCCATTGCAAGAAAAGACAATATGAATTCTAGATCTCTAATTATAATCGGAATTACTTGTATTTCCATGTGCTTCTCAGGTGAGATAAAATCGATAGTCTAGTATCAGTACATATTTATTACATACATGCATTCAAACGGAGACGAGACGTTCCTTGTTTTGGGAGGGTGGGGGTGTTATCGTGGGATGTTGAATTAATTAAAGGGTGAGAAGTCTGTGAGTATGAGCGTAAAGTAAAATAAAGTCTAGCCTATCTTATTGATCCGAATTTTCCTGGCGGCGAGTGATCGGTCATCGACAACGGATTAAAACGCCGCGAACAGAGAACACGTGTTGTCGCATAAAAAGAACTTACATAAAAAAGACGTTCTGTATAAGGATTTATAAGAAGATTCAAAGATGAACAGAGCTTATAAAAATTGTAAAACAAGTTGTATAAAAAAAGAACGAAATAAACTGTCTTTAAAAACAAGCGTGAAAAAGTTGAATGACATTGTACGTTACAATAACCTCTTTTCGTATTTGTGGTAATTTATTTGACCTCCATCTATCTGACGGAGCGATTCTTTTTCTCAGTCCGTCCCTTGTAAATAAATTTAAAACGAAATGGAAAGAAAAGTCGGGTTAAATAACAATGCAATTTTCTAATCTATTTTTCTAGTTTCTAAAGCTAATTTCTTTCATATTCGATTCTTACTAAAACTTTGCATTGTCAGTAGTCATACTCCTTATATACAGTTTTTGTAAAGAACAAATCATACTTTGTCATTAACATTGATAAACATGATAAAGTCACAAAAAATTACAGACACAAAGTATCAAGGAGGAGGAAATGGACTATCCCCTTTTATTCCGAGAAAAACTAGTTTCATTTAAATTTAGATGGAAATTTTCATTTTATGCATGGCCGTTCCCAACCCATGCACATTTTTTTTTTTGGTTTGATTTGTTTTGTTTTGTTTTTGTTTGTTTGTTTGATTGTTTTGTTGTTGTTGAAAGAACGTGTCCACATGTACATGTACATCATTAGGGTATAAAGAGTACCATTAATTTAATTGTCGGTTGCGTATTTAAATTCCTGTAACCATTTTCAAGGCAAGTTGTTTATTGAATAACTCCTGAAAGCGTGCCCAGTTCAGTAGTGTGAACGTCATTATAGATCGCTAACCTTTGTTCAGTTCTCTACAAGCTCACTTGTATGGGGCCACAATGGGGAATCCAAGTTTGACGTAGCAATCTATAGGAAAAATCTTTAAAAAATCTTCTTCTTGAGAACCACTGGGCTAGAAAAGCTGAAAGTTTTTTATGGAAGCATTCTGGGGTAGAGTAGATTCTAAATTGTTCAAATCATAACCCCCCGGGGATAGAGTGTAGCTACAATGGGGAATCCAAGTTTTACATTGAAATATATAGGAATTTTTTAAAAAAAATCTCTTCTTCTCGAGAACCACTGGGCCAGAAAAGCTGAAAATTTTATGGAAGCATCCTGGGGTAGTGCAGATACTAAATTGTTCAAATCATGTCCCCCTGGAGTAGGGTGGGGCCACAATTGGGAATCCATGTTTTACATTGCAATATATAAGAATAATCTTTAAAAATCTTCTCAATAATCACTAGGCCAGAAAAGGTGAAACTTTTATGGAAGCATCCTTTTGTAGTGTATATTCTAAATTGTTCAAATCATGACCCCCAGGGATAGGGTGAGACCACAATTGGGAATCCAAGTTTTACATTGAAATACATAGGAACAATCTTAAACAATCTTCCTCTCAAGAACCACTGGCCCAGAAAAGCTGAAACTTATATGGAAGCATCCTGGTGTAGTGTAGATTCTAAATTGTTCAAATTATGACCCCGGGGTAGGATGGGGCCACAATACGTATTACAAGGGGGACATCTGGTGAAGAAAAGCAGGGCCAAAGTTACTCAGGTGAGCGTTGTGGCCCATTGACCTCTTGTTTTTCTTTCAAATCCATGAACCATTATGCTCGTAGTAAATTAATAACTGACCACTCTTTATTTACATCTTTAGTGAGATTAAAAAGCAGGCAGTCCCCGCGTTCCTTGTAACACTGTAGTCTTAATTGTGAAATGTTCTTATTATTTTATAATTTAATGTTTGAATACAATATTTAGACAATGACTTTGATTATCCATGATCATGATACATAATTTAACCATTTTGCCCCATTTTTAGGTCACCTAAGTCAATCAGATGACCTATTGCTATTTTGTTTTTGTTGATCATCATCTTTCATTCGTTTTTCTTCTCTTAAGAAATTTTAATCAATTTAGGCATATAGAATTAATGGTTGAAGAAGTACAACTTTTGTTAATTATCATCGTCCCTTCTCCCCCTGGATCCCGAGGAAAGGGGCTAAAACCATCAAAATAATTTGTGCTGTCTTTAAAAATTTTTACTCGTGGACATCAAGCTAGCAAACTGTTGGCATGATTGTAATAAGAATTGAGCCCCTTCCAAAGTTTTAAATTCTTGACCCCAGTATCAGGGGATCTGGAGTTTGGGTGGGACTGGAATGATCATGATGGTCATAAATTATACTAGTAGTGAATATGCATTACTTCTTTGAAATCTTCTCTCGCCCTGTATAATTAGCAGATAAACTAGGTTCATGGCTATGCTGAGCAAGGATGCCGTTTCCAAATTTGTTAAATTTGAGGTCCAAAATGTCAGGGGTTCTGTTATGGGAGGAGGAGTCATTTGAACATTTAGTAAAAGTGCATTTTTACGCCCCAGTAATCGAAGATATATAGTTTTTTTTTTCATATCCGTCAGTCTGTCTGTCTAGGTTTCTGTTTGTCCGCAAAATCTTTAACATTGCCCATAACTTTTGATTGGTTGGAGCTATGGCTCTCTTTTTTTTAATGCTTTATTTTGAAGCCTTTTTTCATATGTATAAATACAAACACATACCACACAATTTACACCCACTTACCATCACACTTACACACACTTGGACAGTGCACTTTCTAAAATAAAATACTATACACAAATGTAGACATATGACAGTTAATCATGCAATTTATCAAAAAAAAAAAAAAAAAAAAAAGGATATACCAAAAGGAGAAGATATAAACCCCCCCCCCCTCCCCCCCCCCCAAAAAAAAAAAACAAAAACAAAAAAAAAAAAAACAAACAAAACAACAACAACAACAACAACAACAAAAAACAAAAAAAACAAACAAACAAAAAAAACAAAACAAAACAAAACAAAACAAAAACATTTTTCATCACTTGTTGTATACATTATCATACAGGGCCCATTTACTAATTATTTTGTCCTTACATTGAAATATTTTTTCACAATAATTTTCTATGTTTCTGTAATATTTAAATAACCTTACAGCATCAATAAATATTGGCGTAAAACCTTGTGATCTTGAATAATAAATAATTTTTTTTGCAACTAACAGAAGAAAATTTTCTAAACAACTTCCCTTTACCAAGTAAAACAATCCTTGTGGATATTTTATAATCATTTTCAATGACATTAAACCATTGTACAAATTCATTCCAAAATTCAGTCACATATACATGTACACAATCATAAAATACGTGAATGATTGTCTCTGTTTCACTATTACAGAATGTATATAAACTATTTTCTGACAGCTTAACTTTATAAAGAAAGGAGTTAGTAACAATATAATTCATCAGTACTCGATATTGAAAATAAATTATTTTCGTCTCTTTTGTGCATAATGATGCATTTACAAAGTAGAATTTCCTGTTTTTTTTTCTGAGATTGACTCATCTAGTAAAGTTTCCCACTTATCTTTTTTTGAAGTTGGGGCTATAAACTCCTTTTCTTTCATGATATGATACAAAAAATTAACATTATTTGTTGATAACAATTTTTGTACAAGACATATTTCTGGTTCAGTATTTTCAGGAATTCTATTTTCTTTAAAAGGAATGAGTTTTCTTTTAATTTTTGAGGGTATATTTAAAATCAGATGAAAATAGTTTAAAAAATTATTAGTACCAAGTACATCTTTTATTTCATTGAAACATTTTATTTTCCCATTTTCCGACACTAGGTCGTTCAGGTTCTTAACACCTTTTTCAACCCATTTTGTATAAAATTCCAACTTTTTGACATCCACAAAATTTCCAATATTTAAGTACAAATAATCTAATACATGTTCAGGACTTCAATGCTTTAATTACATGTACATCTTTCCAAAAATTATTATCAATGATTTTAACAAATTCTTGAAGATTCCCTTTAGATAAATAAAAAATGAAATCAACACTTTTAAGTTTGAAAATACAATGTAGCAAATGTTGCCATGCACCTTCAGTTTTGGTCAGATACCTCTTTACCCATTTTAACTTGATATATGAAATGAAAGATGATAAGTGTAGCATATTTAAACCACCATCCTCATATCTCCCGATAAGTGTATTTCTTTTAACCTTTTCTGACTTGTATCCCCAAATGAATTTGAAAAATGTTTTGTTTATTTCATCCAAAAGATCTTTTGGGGAGTCCGGCAGTGCAGAAAATAAGTATATAAGCTTAGGGAGAGTTAAAGTTTTGATAATTGTGATTTTCCCTAGTGGTGTTAAATGTCTTTTTGTCCATGATCCTAACAATCTCTTAATAGAGGTAATTTTTGTTTGAAAATTACTTGTAATCATATCCTCAAGGTTATTAGTGAAAAGTTATTCCAAGAAGTTTAAAACTATCTTTTCCCCAACCAATTTCCAAATCTGTACACAAAGTTTCTGCTGAACCTGTTTTACTTCCTAACCACACTGCCTGTGATTTAGATATATTAAGTTTCAATCCCGATACACTACCAAATTTATCAATAACACTCATTGATTCTCTTAGAGACGATTCACTTCCATCCAGTAGTAAATATGAATCATCTGCATATTGCCCCAATTTGTTTTCTTTCCCCCTCAATAATAATACCTTTAATGTTTACATTTTTCTTGAGTGAAATTGCTAGTAATTCAAGCGTGATGATAAACAAATATGGAGTTAAAGGATCACCTTGTCTGAAACCCCTCTGAAGACTAAAAAATTCTGATAAATGGCCATTATT